AGTCCAGCGGGCTGGTGGGGAGGTTCTAGGGGACCCTGAAGCAGATGCTGGAGGCCTTCATGCACCGGCACCCACCCCACCTGCTGTCTGCACACAGAGAGGTACCCCGAAAGTCTACCAGGTTCTCCCTGACCAAGCCAGGGTGCAGAGGGAAGGCCCCCCTGGGCTTGCTGAGGGAGTTATGGGAGGGGGAGACCTCCCCGGATGGCGAGTCGAGGGCAGAGGACGTCCTGGCTTTCCAGGAAAGGCTCACTGAGCTCATGGGCCTGGCAAGAACCCAAGGGAAATGGAAGGGCTGTTCCAACTGCAGAGTGGGCCTGTCACGTTATCACGGGGCGGGGCGGCCCCGAGGGGGGGGGGGGGGTGTTTTCCCCAAAAGTGGTACAAAGGGGCCATGTGAGGGGTCAGAAAAAAGCTACTTTCTTCTGATTCTGTATCTGCTCATCGTGGATCTGTGTAATGTCTGTGTGTGGAGTCAGGAATCTGTAATCTGGGTGGAGACTGAATATTTCCCTGCATGTGGTTGAGCATTGGGCAGAGCCCGGGCCTGTGGACATGCTAATCAGCGAGGCCCTGTGGGCCAAGGACACACCTAAAACATGAGGGCTGACACCTGAGGGCTGCCAGCAGGGACACAGGGATAAGCCGCTGGCCAGGTGACCTGCTGCTGCCAAGAAGAGGCCAGGAAGGAGGTATTAAGATGCCATGTGGCTGACTCCATCTTGGTTCTCAGCTCAGCACGTCATCCCAGAGGCAGCAGTGCAGGGATCGAAGAGCCCGGAAGACCTGTGGACCCATCCTGATCCTAGGATGCGCACCAAGGACTTTTAAACCAGCAGCTGTAACATCTCTGCTAGAGCCTGCATCGAGAACTGGGAGATTCGGTGCATGTAACATACGATCCTTTAACAACCTCACACTCATGCTTTTCTTTCTTGTGGTAATAAACCTTTAGATGTTAGATGCTAAAGGATTGGCCCAGCGTGATCTGTGGGTAAGGTCCAGAGGGTAAACTGACCAGGGATCTGTGGCTGGTTTCTTGGAACTGGACAGGACTTGTTCGGGGTAGGTGGGATTGGGTGCTAGGACCCCCCACCCGTGTATAGGCCCGGGGCCATTCTGAGGGGTTTTGCTCGTGAGGCTTCAGGCAGGCAGCTGAAGCGCTCTGTGGGATTGGTTTGTGGCCTGTTTGGAAAGGTCACCAGTCTGGGAGCTGTAAGAAGCCCCAAATTTGAGCAATTCGCCCCAAGGGGGTGCCCTCAGCTGTACCCAGACTGGCCCGGTCCATCACAGCCTTTTAAAAAAAAAAAGGCAGGTCCCTCCAATTCATAGCTGGAATAGCGTGTGCTGCTGGAGCAAAGCTCTTTTGGTCTGTTGATCTAAATGAATGTTACTGCCTAGATACATGCAGCACCGGAGGCTTTGACACTCTGAGTGCATGTCACACGTGTCCAGTCAAGAAGCACTTGTCCAGCGAAAGGCTGTATGAACACTCCTTCTATGTTTCTGTGGTGAAAACAATGGCACTTCATCAAATGAACATGTTAGAGGCTGGGCTGTGGCCATGACAGTGTTAATGTTTTGTTTATTCCGACCCACGACCCTGTCTTTGGAAGAAGCCCAGCATGTTAAAAGAGCTATTGTGACCATTCATAGTGAAGGATTTGTACTTTCAAAACAAGGCCATAAGCCATCTCCTCAGCACTCCGGATGGTCTGGCAGCCCAGCTCCTCCTCCTCCTTCAGAGAAAAATACCCAAGAACAACACTCTCATTCAGCCCGGGCTCCATTTCCTGCTCCTTTTCCTGCCTTGTGCATCCTCCCTGAAGATACCCTGATTTCCCTGCATGACAAGTGAGGGCTTGTCAAGAAGGTAAAACATGTTTGGCCTAAGGTCATTGTGAACCTAAAACTTGCTGATGTTCAGCAATTCTCAGAGAAGACGTGCATTCCCGCCTGGCTCTAGGGCCACTGCCCGCAGCCCACTCCCTGCCCAGGCTGCAGCTGGCCACGCGGGCCGGTTAGGGACATAGAAAATAAATTTTATTCTCCATTTGCAATTCCTACGTTGCAGTTGCAGCACTAACCGTGATCCTCGTGAGAAGAGAGCAGCTGGCGCGCCCCCTGGCACGCAACAGGAAGTGCCAGGGCCAGGGCC